TTTTCGGAACGACTCTATTTCTTGTTTCTTCTCGTCTATCTGAAATGTTGAGTTCATGACAATCGCGCTCTAATGCTAACTTCTCACCCTCATCTTCTCAACTGCCTCGGTAACTCCAGAAGCTTCCAGAATCAAATTCATCCACTCATCATGCCCATTTTCAGACAAAAACCTCATGGCCTTTGATAGTGATAACATTTGATCTAGTTCTGTGCCTTTTTCATGGAGCGCGAACACAGATGGCGATAGGAGATTCACCTGGAAGGTCTTTTTGTGATATCAGATCCCTCTGATAAAACTACCGTATCATTAGCCTGCTCATCTGGCAACACGCTCATAAACTGTGGAGACATTAGCGAAATTTTTCGCTCATCAAAATTTGACACATTTTTTCCTGCCAACATCATTCCTAACTTGACACCTGAACTTTTTTTATTTTCGAAATCGAGAACTCTAAACTTACCATCCCGGATCATCATTAGCGGTTTTTTGAGTGCAGTTTCTTCTTCACTCATGGGCTCCGTGGTGTTACTAGAGTCAGCAATTTCTTCACCTAGTGAAGACATGCCCTGAATAATATCGAAATTTGGAATTCGAGTTCTGCATTGAAGAAAAAAACTGACCGCTTTCTCAAATGCCTGCTTTGGATCTAGTCCCAACATTTTCATGGTTCTCGAATATTTCGAAAAAATATTTTTGAACTCTTCTCGATCCTTTTTCTTCTTCTTGATCCGATCGAGCTCCTCCTTGATTTCGTTTATCACAGTTTGCCATCTAAATCAATGAGTGTTTTTCGAATCATAAACGTTGGTGGCCTAGAAAACTGAATTTGCCAAAGTTAGAAAATCATGTCAAAATGGCTTGGAAAATCCGTGAGGTATCAGGCCGTTTCTAGATCGTTTACCATGGTGGCCTAGAAAACTCAACTTGCGAAAATTAGGCCACGGTGGTAAATGGCCTAGAAAGCGCACCCGGTGCATGTTTGACCATTTCTGAACTACTGTGAATTAGAAAAATTCCCAAATAACCAACTTTTTCTTTGGTTCGTTCTCCTTATTCTTCTTCTCCCTAACCAAATTCGTCAAATGTTTCGCAATATTCGAAAACGGGGAGATCATCTCTGTCTTGCCTTTCAACTCATATTTGTCTCTCTGCTGAACCACAAACTCTTCATCTTCTTTAAGATCATCCATAACATCTCTTCTCACTCTTCTTCTGAATCTTGTCCGACGGAATTTCAGTTTTTTAAACCTCCGATTTTTCCTTCTTTGGTCATCCAACCGGTTCAAAATTATCACTACACATCTTGCGTGCTCCGTTACGGTGGATGCCAGTTTTGTACAGTTGTTGTGTTGGGAGATGTGCCGCGACTTGAGACGTTTGTCGTGAAGTCTGAAATATGATATTACGGAAGATAGAGACCTCTCGAAAACTTAGAGCACACTTACTTAGTGCTCATTAAAGCTGACATGAACCCAGACGCTGCTTGATCGACCCACTTCTGAATTAGTTGATACGTTGCTTCTTCAGAAATCTTTATGATGGTCTTATTTCCATCGTGAGTCATTTCATTGATATTCAGAATTGGGGAATTTGATGTTTTCTTTGATCCATCTTCTACTATGAACGTCAAACTTCCATTATGTGCAGTTTTGCCTTCTTCCAGTGCAGTCAGGTTTAGAAAAGGGATCAGTTTTGCTGGGATTGATCCATGCTCAAGTTGGTGTTTCAGATGAGACACTCCTTGAAGGATGTCGTTTGGTTGGGTAAAGTTGGTTTCTGGAAAGCTAGCAGTTCATAGAATCTCTGAATCTCAAAATCTTCAAATTTCTCAAAATCTTCAAAATTCAATTTCTGGATAAGAACAGTTAACACTCTAATGGAATCCGTCATATACAACTTCACTTTGAGCCCATATATCCCATGTCCTGGTAAAGATATCAAAAATTGGTCAACTGATAAAATGACCGTGGTATCAAAAATATTTTGTCAGTTTAATATTTTTGGTGTCTTTGACAGGAAATGAGATAAATTGGTTCAAAGATATTCTAAATCCATAACTAGCAACTGGCCGGGTAGAACTTTTTTCAAGTGTTGTTTGGCTCGTTTCAGCCGCGTTATCTGCTTTTTTTTCTAGTATTTTCGGGTCATTTTTCAAGACTTTCCACATACACTTGTGAAAATTTCTGTCAAATAAAAAGATCGCGAAAAAAAAGAGTGAAAATTTAAAAAAATTCTATAAAAATACCTTCAATTTTGAGCAAATCTATCTTCTTTCCTGTGAAAGAAATCGAAAAGTAATCAACTGATAAAATATTTTCTAAATTATAATCAACATGGTATCAGTTGAAAACTTTTTGATATCTAAAACAGTAAACAAGATATACGGGCTCAACGTTTACGGCTGTGAGAGTGAGAAGATATCTATAACAATTCTCAAGATTTCAAGAATCTCATAATCCCAGACTTTTGGAAACAAAAAAATTCAGCTTTTTCAAAAAATAAACTCACCCACACCAAAAACCAACTGGACCACACACACAAAAATTACTGTATACGTCCATAGCATTTCCTATGAGAATCACTAAACAAAGATGTAACTGATAGTGGCTTCTCGTGTAGCTAAATAGCATATAATCTCCGAACCCGACCCTAATTCGTAACTTATCTCCCCCACCCTTCGATCAAATACCAGTTATGTTACCACTAAATCATTAAGCGGAAAAATGAAATGTCTTCTCTTATCAGGCATAGAATAAGTGAATTTATCTCCCTCTCTTTCTCTTGATGTCTACGCCGAGAATGGAAAGAAAGATGGAAAACAACAAATAGAGAAATAATAATATCTTTTCTCATATGGATCTTTTTGGTTTTTGTGTTGTGATTCGGTTTGGCAAGCAGAAGAAAGAAAATAAAAGGAAAAAAAAAGAAACAGAATGCGAGGGAAAATAACAGCGCCCTTTCCGATCACTCGATTTTTCAGAATTCAGAATAATTTTTAAAATCTCCGAACTTAATTTCATATCTTTCAAATTTCGGAATATATAAATTTCTGAGATCTTATTCACCGAATTTGCCTAAAAATTTCAAAGTTTCAGATTTTCCAACATTTCCGGTTTTCAATTTTCTGAATGTCTAAATTTTCGAAATTTAGAGTTTTCGAATTCTGAAATCTACATTTCCGATTTTCCGAAGTTCCAAAAACTTTTCGACGAGACTGTGTTTCGAAAAGTTGAATTTCTGAATTTATAATTTTTCAAGTTCTCAAATTCTCGATTCTAAACTTTTTCGAAATTCTATAAATTTTGCGAACAGGGCCGTTTCAGGCCAGCCCCTTTAGTAAGTATGCAAAAATCTGAATTTTCCGATTCCTTAAAATCTGATATACCAAAATTTGGGTATTTGAGACGTACAGATTAAAACACTTTTCTAGATTTCAAAATTAATGTTTTCCTACATCTGATTTTTTTTTAAATTTACTAATCTCTGAACTTGCGAGTGTCTTACTTTTTCAATTTCCGGATTTTCTTACTTCCGACTTTCCGAATTCTGGAAATTCTGAATAACCGAAATATCGAATTTCGAAATTTCCTAACAGACCATGAAAAAATAGTCCCTGGAAAAATGACAAAACCTGTCTATAAGACAACGGGTACTGTAAGCGGGAGCCAGGAGGCTCAGCCCGGAGGAGCGCAAACCGACTGTTTTTCAAAATTCGAAAATTTCGAAATTCAGAATTTTCGGAGACCAGAAAGTTTAGTAAACCTGACATTTAGTTATCCGAAATGTGAAACTTCAGGAAACCGGGAGTTCACATACTCCTAAATTTCAGAACATAAAAAATCTTTTT